CTTAGCCATTCTTAACCTTTAATTGGCTTCATATGCTGATGATCCCCAAATTTATTTCTCCAGCCTGACCTCTTCATGGAGGTCAGAGCCCTCATAGCCAATAGAACTCTTGATTCTTACTCTCTTCCCCTCACCCCCTGAATTCTCAAAACAGAAACCAAAATCGAACAAAAGTACCTTGTTTCTACTCTAGTCTTTCCCCATCTTACCAGCCACTTACTTGGTCAAGCCAAAACCCTAAGAGTTCTTTATCTGCTTTTGTTGAGACCACCATTTTAGACATCTAACTGGTCTTCATGTTCCCTCTCTTTCTACTTTACCTTTCAATTTAAGAGCAAAAATGACCCCTTTAAATTATAAATTGATTCACATTGCTACTCAGGTATTCAAACTTCTTCCCATGGCCTGGGAAGTGGGCTCTCTCTGCTTTTGCATCCTCCTCTCGTGCTACTTTCTTCCTGCTCACTGTGCCTTAGCCACACTGACCTTCCCCCTCATAATACCAACACTCTCCCTACCTCAGGCTCTTCTACTTGCTGTTCCTTCTGTCTGCAGTGCTCTTCCCTGAGAATTTTGCATAGGTGGTTCTTTCCTTTCAGAGCTTATCAGCTCAGAGGCCTGCCTTGACCACACAAGCTAAAATCCTTACTCCGTATCCTCATGTTACTCTCCTTCAAAAATATAACAGCATTTATCACCATCAGAAATTGCCTTGTTTAACATGCCTGTTGCCTGTCTGTTCATCCCTGCATCATCCTCCCTCCTCAGATGGGAAGCATCCATCTGGTTGGTCTTAGAGCTCTAGCATCTAGAAGCAGCCCATATGTAATCCAAAAGAAAAAAAAAAAAAAGAATGTAATTTGCATATTTTTCCAAGTATATGGGAACAAATAATATTCTTTTTCTCTTTTAATATGTCATGTACTGAGTACCTACCATGTTCCAGGCACAGCTCTATGTGTGAGGGATACAGCAATGAATAAACAAATCCAAGATCCCCATCTCTATGGAGCTTCCCAAATGACTGTAGTTTCAGGGACAGGGAGCAACTGAATAAATAAACAGTAGTGTGTCTGATTGTATTAAGCACTGTGCAGAAAAGCATAGCAAAAAGGATAGGGAGTGCTGACCAGAAAGGAATTTAAGAATGTAAAATAGTGTGGTCAGGGAAAGACTCCCTGAGATGATCTTTGAGCAAAGCCTGGAAAAGGCCAGGAATATGTTGTACAATGACAGGAAAACAGTCCACAGAGCAGAAAAGTCAGTGCCTAGAGGTGGGACCATGCCTGGGTGCTTGAGGAACCATAAGATGTCAGAGAAACATGGACAATTGTGGGAGAAGGAATGGGGAAGCAAGAATCTCTGTTCCTCTCATGCGAAGTTTATATATTAAAGGCCTTTCCTCCCAAACATCCCATATATATGTAGATATCACACGTCTACTGTCTTTTATCTGCAATTCTGAGATCTAAAAAGCTAAATAACCCAAGTCTGTGTGTTTGGTGCAAAAGTCACGTGATATCAAAAGTATATCTATGACATAGAACTGTTTACAGCCTTTATCCCACTTAGTAGGAATATTCTTGTTTGACTACAAAAATATTAATACATTGATTTTGGGAATCTAACCTAGGCCCTACTCAGGTGTTACATATTATGTGGTTTATGTACATATGTACTAAACTCCAAAAAAAGTATGAGATGTATCTGGTACCAAGGAGTTCTCAAAAACAGGAAAAACAGGGTGGAAGTGAAATTCTCTCCTCTCAGAACAGCAGCCTCTTTGTTCCTGAAGAAAGAAGGGCAAGGAACCTAAAGCAGGAAAAGCAGCAAGCATACTTCAGCAGACTGTATTTATGCTGGATGGGAATCTTACATGAAATGCATCTCTTAGGGCAAGGCGAAATCAAGCAGCCTTTATAACACTAGAGGTTTTTAGTCTGGATGATAGAAAATTAATCACTCCCAGAGATGTAACATTCTAGCAGTTATAGCTCCTTACAATAAAAAGGACAAGTTCAAATTCATTTATTTATTTACTTCTCATTAGTTTTCTGGTGCAAATGGGGGAGAAAAACCCTATGTCCTAGTTCTATTACCATCTGGATGATTTCAAAGAAATTTGCCTATCAAAGCATATTTTTGTTCCTCATTTTTGGGCTAGTGTCCATGGCATTAGTAATGATTCATTCAGTAGAATTTTCCTTTGGACTAAATATGTACTTTACGGGACAACAGGAAAACTTGCCTTTAGGAATAGCAAATTTGTACCACGAGTATAGAATCTCACACATAAATATATCTTGGCAACATTGTATAATGTCTGAATGGAATTAAAACAAGCTCTTCTAATGTGAAGCTGGGTATTTTTGGAAATCTTTTTCTGTGTTTGTTATTTTGGGAGTATGCTTATATACTAACTTTGGCATATAAGATAATGACAATTTAATATGAAAGTTAAATTTATGCCACAGACCAAACTCACTTATTTCCTCAACAGAAAATGTCATGATTTCAACGGAATTTAGTGAGAGAAAATCAGTATGGTTTATGTCTTTATGCCTTGGCAAAGACTGAATTAAAAATAACAGGTATGATTTTTCGTTTTTCTTTGCAATTTTCCCAACCTGTCTGTTGTAATAATAGCGTGGGGAGGGCTAATAAGATAGAACAAAAAAACCCAACACAAAACAAGACTATGTAGTTTATAATTGTTTCATTATCACTGGTCAGGAATCCTGCCTCTACGTAAAAATCATGTTTGGTCCAGAATAACTGGCAATTTCTTCAGGTCTCAGCTGAAGAACATTAACCTTTTGTTTTAAAAAGCATTAAATGTTAAAAATAACCCCCCCCCAAAAAAAGCATCCATACATCCCCCCCCAAAAAATAAAAAATAAAAGGCATTAAATGTTATCTTCAGAAACCTCTACCAGCAAGACAACAGTATTCTTACAAAATCTTAACCCTTCTCTGTGTAAGCTGTATAGGAATTATACTAGAAGCACTTAATCATTGTGAACTTCCTTGTGTAAGCAGGAGGAAACAAAACTTAAGGATACAAAAATCTAAGATGAGTTTATGTAAAGGATTCATTAATCTCTGGTGCAGTGTCATTATGAAAAGTGTACCTTTTCCCTCACATATCCCTAACTGAACAGCAAGGTTTCTGAGGCTCTACAAACACTCATCTGTTAGAAAGTGTTGTGGTCCTTCCTATAGGAGTGTGGATGGCAAGCTTATCCTCAAAGACCAGAGAAAAAGGAATGTATTTTTCAGGGATATATCCACAGGACTCAACTGCCATCTCTCAGCTGGCCTAATTAGCACTTTCTTGTTTGGAATCCCAGATTTTAAGGGTTAAACAGTGATTTTCATACTTGGCTAAACATCAGAATTACTTGGGGAGCTTTTCAAATGTACTGAATTACAATCCTTAAATCTATATTTTGTAGAAGTTCCATTGATTGTTCTGCTGTACTCTGAGATAAGAAGAACTGAGAGATATAGCAGTGCGAGCCTTCACATAGCAGAACTTAGGAAATCTGGATAAAAGTCCATGCAACCCTTCTAGGGAACTGGTCCTCTGGCAGCATAGCCTTGACCCACTGTGGCACTCCGTAAAGAGCAGGCCATTTTTCATGCCTAAATAGCGCACCTGTTCCCTTTGAGTGTTCAATTTTTTTTCTGAAATCTTATTTATTTATTTGACAGAGAGACAGAGAACACGAGCAGAGTAAGGAGCAGAAGAAGAGGGAGAAGCAGACTGCCCCCTAACCCCGAGCAGGGAGCCTAATGCAGGACTCAGTCCCAGGACCCTGGGATCATGACCTGAGCTGAAGGCAGATGCTTAACTGACTGAGCCACCCAGGCGCCTTGAGTGTTCCAATTTTTACATGAAATTATTTCATAAAAGAAAGAGACATCAAGAAGTTTCAGAAGACCCTGTCAAAAGTAGACAAGAAAGGAAGAGGTTTTGGAAGCGCTTATGAGGATGTAAAGGCATCAGTCATTGGCAGCCGGCACAGGAGGGTGAGTGGGGAGAGTCAGCTCCGCAGCCTGCAGCTGTCCAACTGCCCAAGCCGATAGCTGTGGCCAATCCCATGTCTGGATGTTTCTTTGATAGATAAAATAGCACTTTTTTTTTTTTAATTTATTTTCAGCGTAACAGTATTCACTGTTTTTGCACCACACCCAGTGCTCCATGCAATCCGTGCCCTCCCTAATACCTACCACCTGGTTCCCCCAACCTCCCACCCCCCGCCCCTTCAAGACCCTCAGATTGTTTTTCAGAGTCCATAGTCTCTCATGGTTCACCTCCCCTTCCAATTTCCCTCAACTCCCTTCTCCTCTCCAACTCCCCTTGTCCTCCATGCTTAAAATAGCACTTCTATCAAATAATGAAAACAAATGGTATATACGGCTTTAAAAAACAAATAGCTAAAGAAGACTATATAATTCCAAAAACAGGATTCTGATTGAGAACTAGAGACTTCCAGGCCACTTTGCCTCTAACAGCTAAGGTCTGCAAAAACAGATAAAAATAAACTAAGGATTCAAAAGTGACCTCACTGGGGTACCTGGGTGGCCCGGTCCATTGAGTGTCTGCATTTGGCTCAGGTCATGATCCCAGAGTCCTGGGATCAAGCCCCATGTGGTCAGGCTCCCTGCTCAGCGGAGAGTCTGTTTCTCCCTCTCCCTCTGCTTCTCTGCCCGATTGTGTGTTCACATGTGCTCTCTCTCAAATAAATAAAATCTTTAAAAACAAAAGCAAAAAAAAAAAAAGTGACCTCACCAATAAAGAACAGTCCCGTTCAATAATATGCACGGTAATTATGTTGTTTATGTGCCATCTATGTTTTAGGATGGGCTTTGCTATAATACCTTATCTGAGTAGCTGCTTCCAAAAATAAGCTTTTATTGAATGGATTTATATAAACTTAAGTGATGTCAGGTTGATATAATTTTGCTGCTGCTTAGGGACTAAAAAAAACCCCACATATTTGTCTTATTATCTCCAAATAAGCATTTTATTATCAAATAGTTTAGCATCAGAACAAGGTTTCTAATTCCAAAAGAATTTTCTTTACATAATATATTGAGAAACACATATCATATTGTGAAACACATATTAGAGGGATCTGACACTACTTCCTACATCCTGTTCCAGTTTCTCTCTTGCAGTTGGGTAACTTGTTTTGATCTAAAAAGTATAAATTTATCTCATTCTTGTTAATGCTGTCCGTGAAATATGAGTTCCTTTTCAGCCAGCACTTTATAATTTTTTTGTGCCAGGTTAAGAGAACTGTTTTATAGGGACATAAAAGTCAACTACAAGAGAAACACAGAATCATTTTTACTTACACAAGCAAGTCTCTCTTAACACAAAAGGAAAAGACATAATGCAATTATGTAAGGCAGATAATCCCAGAAATAACATTCATTCAGAGACAGTACTTCATATTCAATAATCCCACATGAGAAAGTAATGACTCAGAGTAAAAAGAAAATTAAAATTAGCCCTTGGGACTTTGACAATTAAATTGCCACGGCTGTTTGTGAATTCTAATTAATGTTTGATGTTAGCCACGATGACTCAGAACCAGTTCCCAGTAGAACATGACCCTCAGATGTTACAGGCCGTTTCAAATTTGTTTTTGTTCAAGTTACTCCTTCATCCGGTATCCCACATATAAAACTGTTCTCAAGCATCCTTCAGATTTATAAGAAATTAACTGAGTGCCTACTTAGTATGCAGGGCACCGTGCCGGGTGCTGACAGTGTGATATGACAGCCTCCCTTGTCAAGCTCTCTATGTGATATCAGCCTTTGGAAGAATGGAAATTTGACCAGAATAGCATATAGTTCGACCGATGTACCAAAAGTGTCCCAACTTAAATGACTCAAAAGAGGAAATGGTAAATAAGACGTTTCCGTTTTTTTTTTCTTTCTTTCTTTCTTAGCTTAGTCGCAGCTGATCAGAGAGCACTGAATGCTTTCTGCCGTCAACTTCAGATTTCAGCTGATGGGGCAGACTGACCACCACCCCCTTTTGATAGAATATAAGTATTCGGTCAAGTGTAGCTCATCATAAATACTATGAAGGAGAAGTTATTCTCTGGCTTTTGCAGGGAAAAATGGAAATGCTAACAATTCTTTCTTGCAGGTGGGGTTCAATTTTTAAAGGCTCCAACTCTGCTTGCCTTGCTGATGAAGTTCTTGAGAAGATCATGGTCCATTTCTGCAAAGCCTGAAGTCTGTGTTACTACAGTCAAATGGTTTATGCAAAACCTGAAGCAGAATTCTTCTAAATCCTAGGAATAACAAAAAATGTTTTAACAAATTTGTATATCCCAATGCAATGCACCATCTCATGAAAATTCCTAAGACACAGGAAGGAAAAGGATTTGAGAGCCAAGAGGAAAAAATGTTGGTACAGCTGTACCTAAAGATTAGTTCTAAACTGTCCAGCTAATGTGAATCTATGCTTTCAAAAATTTTACATGGGGTAAAATATTCAAGTTCCTCCATGCCAACCCACACAAAGAATCTTTTTCTTCTCAGAGAACTATGTGTATGAATTCTGTACCTTTCTCTCGTGACAGTATTTGCATTGTTCATCCCACTTTCGGTATTTGTTAAAATACCCCACTTTTATATTCCCCTATAGGAGCTGAAATGTTTCTTTTTTTTTTTTTTTTAAAGATTTTTTGTTTATTTATTTGACAGATCACAAGTAGGCAGAGAGGCAGGCAGAGAGAGAGAGGAGGAGGAGGCAGGCTCCCTGTTGAGCAGAGAGCCCGATGCGGGACTCGATCCCAGGACCCTGAGATCATGACCTGAGCCGAAGGCAGAGGCTTTAACCACTGAGCCACCCAGGCGCCCCAAGAGCTGAAATGTTTCTATCTGAAAAGAGTTTCTCCTATGTGTTAGGCACTATCCTCAGAGCTAGGCATAAGGTTGTGAGCAAAACAAAGTCCCTGCTATTCCTTAAGGAGCTTACTTTCTAGAACTCAGAGGGCCAGAAGGTAACCATACAGATAATTCACACAAAAGGGACTACGAAGAAGTCTTGAAAATGAAGCCTCGTTCAGGTGGAAACACTGCCCACTGCCTCATCACTTGAGAGAGCCCGCCAGCCCCCAGGATTCTCCCCATGACTTTGAAAAACTTGAGCAGAGGCTGTGTATAGACACTGCCTAGCCATGAAGCATTTTGCAGGTTTTAAGTGTCCAATATGTGATTAGGTTAATGAAAGACATTCATTACGCTTTAAAATGTGAAGGTTTCAAGGTGGGTTAAGATTTCGTAAAATGTTAACTGAAAAAAATCTGGTTTTTAGAGCCATCTACACCATGTGACCCAGGGAAAAACAGAAGGAGCTATATGAAAATAATAATAATAATAATAATGAAAATAATAATAATGACTGATGAGTTATCTCCATCCTCATACTTTTTAGATTTTCCAAATTTTCTTTAATAAGCTTATTTATTTATATAAGCAGAAAAGAAGTTATAACCTTTCTTTCTGCCCACCACTAAATGTTCCTGTTTTTTGACCAAAGGAGAGGATATCCTTATAACAAAAGGAAATCGACTGCAAGAAGTATGGCCTGCTTCCTAAAGATTTAGCTCTAAGACAGGTTTTCTTTCCTTTCTTTATTATCAAAACAATACACAGTCACTGTAGAAAGTTCAGAAAAAAACAAGCAAAGATAGGAAATAAAATCATCCATAATCCCACCATTCAAAGATGACCTTTGATGGTCTTTTTTTTTCTATGTATATAATGAATCTCAGTGTTTTTAAATTCAGCTACTTATGCATTAAAAAAACAAAAAAGGGGGCATCATTTTTCAATTAATGATACATTGGAGTAGCTGTATAATTTCATAGTATTAACATTCTACAGTTGAAACAATCCTCCACTGTTCCTATTGGCTTTTTCTAATTTTTCAAAATTTTAAACAGTGCTGCAATAAACATCTTTGAAGCTAAGTCTCCATCCGAACCCATGATCACTTCCCTATGATAAATTCCTACAAGGGGATTCCGTAAAGAATTGAACGCTTAAGGCTCGCTCTCAGTACATTTGGTCGCCCCTCACATGGCTACCCCAGTTCACAACCTCAGCGGCCATTCAGAAGAACGCCAGTCCTCAGCCTGCGTTACCTCTAAGAATATGTTTATCGGTGGCACAGGTGAAAAATTATACCTTATTTTCACTTATACTTTCCATTTATCCATAAACCCATTTTGTTCTTTGGTCCATTCACTTCCATCAAACTGCTCATGTTTTCTTTTTGTTTTCCAAGAACTACACATTAACTATGGTAAATGTTCTTCACGACATGTTGCAGATATTTTCCCCAGTGTATCATTTACTTTCTCATTTTTTTGGTGATATTTTTGATGTATAGGCTTTATTTTTCTTCCTAAAATCAGATCTATCAATCCTTTCCTTTATGGCATCTGCCTAGGAGCGCTACCCTAACAATATATAAAGGTTCACTTTTTCTGGTACTTCTGGTTACTTCACTTGTTTACATTAAATCTTTGATCTCTCAGAGTTGATTATATTTAATGTAGACCAAACACCTAACATCTTCCCAGAAGGTCAGCTAGTTGAAAGCATGCTTTTCTTTTCTTTCTTTTTTTTTTTTTTTAAAGATTTTGTTTATTTGACAGAGAGAGATCACAAGGAGACGGAGAGGCAGACAGAGAGAGAGAGAGAGAGGGGGAAGCAGGCTCCCTGCTGAGCAGAGAGCCCGATGTGGGACTCGATCCCAGGACCCTGAGATCATGACCTGAGCCGAAGGCAGCGGCTTAACCCACTGAGTCACCCAGGCGCCCCGAAAGCATGCTTTTCTGACCTGAGCATCGTACTTCACAGCAGCCGAAAGCAGCGCAATGGCATTCTCCTCACAGATTCCTTGCTTGATAGTTTGCTGGCAGAGCTTTTTCAAACGATTTTCTCTATAAAATGTAGCCAAATCTAGCAACCCTGGTGGGAAGAGATGTTTATTAGGGGGATTGATTTCAAGCATCCAGCTTAAACTCAGCGTTTACTTGAATATAATCCTTGGGGAAGAGCTGTGTAGGTACAGATGGATGCCGACTTACATCCTGAGTGTGGCTCCACCGGGAACGCAGCCGAACCGAGCAAATACAATATCCAAATAAGTAGCAATGGATAAGCAGGAGCACAGTGAAACTGGCTTAAATGTTTTTCCTAGAAAGGCTGCTCGGAATGTCCCTCTCCCTGCATCATGACTTGTCCTCCTGGGTCATTTCCCTCAGCACATACACATGCTGAAACAGTGCCCATAATTTTACAAAAGAAAAAAGAGAAACATGTGTGCCTCCCATCAGTCTCCATTTCTCTGCAAACCTGACAGACCTCTTCTCTTGCTGCCTCCATGTTCTCACTTCCCATTCTCCCCCTATGCCATTCCAGCACAATCCCATCCCCTCCATGCCCCAATGCCACTAATGCTTCCAGGGACCCAGACCCAAGGGGCTGTTGCCCAGTTTCATTTACTCAACATTTACACAGAATTCCATGTGGTTGGTGACACTCATCTTCTTGAAACACTGTGTTACTTGCTGGTGTTTTCCTTCTCCCTATTTCTTCAGTCTCTTGGCTGGGCCATTCTCCCTAACTTCCCAATGTTTGAGTGCCCCAAGGTTCAAGTCTCAGTGACCTCCAGCACCAACCCCCTGACCCCCAGCTTAAAATACCATTTAATACATACTGATGATGCCGGCTGTAGTCTCTCTCTGTAGTCTCTCTGTCGCCTACTTTCACATCAGTCACAGTAGAACGGGAAACCTATGTAAGCCAAGGATATGGCTCTCTAAATCCATGAGACCATTTGTTACTAGTATCCGGGATTTCATCAATCTGACAACATCAACTGTTTCTCCATCTCTCTGCTACTGAGTTGTGTGTATGTGTGAGGACTGGGCTGGAAACTTGTTTTCGTTGTAACGGGACCAGTACTATCAAAATTATAGAAGAAGTGCTAAATCCCCATGGAGGAACTGAAATCTTTTGGAATCATGGGAGCTATGATGGCTTAATTGTTTTTGGTCAGTTCTCCAAAACTTCCAAATTCCTATCTATAGTCCCACAGCCTCCTGAGCTTCAGAATCACAGAAATGCTGCCCTCAGAGAAGACCTTGCCCTGCGCCCCCACTCAAGACAGCCCAGATCTGCACCTTTTCCGGGTACAATCCTCCCCACAGGGCCAGGGAGCCGGCATCCACTCCTAGACCTCGCTTAGGTTACCGGGAACTCTGGAATTCCCTACCTAACTGGCCTCGAGGCCACAGATGTGGATATTTCCTCCCCTCCAGACCATGCCACCAGTGCAGACGCCCAGCCCAAGGGTAGCCCAGGATAGGGGTGGAAGGAGCTTGTACATGCCCGCTGGGAGGCCCACACCCGCCTTGCAATGCAGGTTGCTGGTGGTGGGTAAAGAAAGATGGCAGGTGGCAAGCTGGAGGCCTGGGATCTGTCCTTCCTGTGTATTCCCATAAGGAACTCTAAGGAGTCCTAAAATTCTAAATTCCAACTAAAACTCAAGCCTGGCCTTTCAGTTCTCAATGAAGGTATATTTTTCCAAGTACGAGGATTGAACGTATTTCATCTAAAAGACATAACTCTGAATTTTTAGACAAATGTACAAGGGCCTTTATCTGGACTCTCACCCAGGGCCCTGCAAATGCTGGGAGTGGGACGCTAAAGGAGATGCCATGCACATGTCTAAGAAGCAACTCAAACTCCTTTGACTTTTCAAACTCAAGGGCAAAACCTGTCACTTTCCATCTTCCTCATATTAGTAAATGATAAATTCCATTAGGCCAGCTACTCAGGCCAAATACCTTAGAGCAGTGATCTTTCTCTCTTTTCCTCACACCCTACATGCCTTCCGTGAGCAAATCCCATCAACTTCATCTTTAAAATATAACCAGAATTTTATCTCAACACCTCCATTGCTACACCACCCTAACCATAGTCACCTTGCACCTAAACCATCCTACGTACTGGTCTTTTAACAAGCACATGAAAAGATGCTCAACATTCCTTAGCACCAGGGAAATGCAAATCAGAACCATAATGAGATAGGACCTCACACTTGTCAGAATGGCTAAAATTAACAACATAGGTAACAACAGATGTTGGCGAGGATGTGGAGAAAGGGGAAGCCTTTTGCACTACTGGTGGGAATGCAAACTGGGGCAACCACCCTGGAAAACAATACGGAGGTTCCTCAAAAAGTTAAAAATATAACTACCTTCTGATCCAGCAATTCCATTACTAGGTATTTACCCAATGAATCACTTAAATTCTACACCCGAAACCAATCTTACCATATATGTTAACTAACTAGAATTCAAATTTAAAAATTGGAATTAAAAAAAAAAAATCGTATCGCTCCTATTGTAGATGCTGCTAGATGCTGTTGCCTCGTTCCCCCCGCCCCCCACATACACACAGATCCGTTCTCCCTTTCTTCTACGACCACTTTCCCCAGCCTCTCTTGCAGCTGCAGTCCTGTCCTTGGCCATCTCTGGTCCATGCTTTGGAATAAGTGGAACTTCCAGGACTTTTCCTTATGAGACACTGGGATTTGCTCTTTGCCCCTTCCTCATGGGCCCGCCATCTGGCTGCAGGTAATGCAAATGCAATCTTGGACCCTGAGCTAGAAGCCACACATAGGGACGCCCTGCACTGTCTCCCTGTGAGAAAGAAACTGTCCTATTTAAACTATTTTTTTTTTAAATATTGCTGTTAAATCCTAAATAATGAAAGCCTCATGCTCAAAACCTCCCAAGGCTTTCCATCATACCAAGAATAAAAAAAGCTCTTCAGCATGGCCTCCAAGAGCAAGCATGTTCTTGCCCACATCCTGCTGCCTGACCTAATACTTAAGATAGCAAGTGCGACTTCACTCCACCCACCCCGGCCTTCTTCCTCTTCCTCCACAGGCTAAATCTGTTCCTGTCTCAGACCGCTGCCCTCACTGCTTCTCAGGGTTAGAAGGCTCTTCCCTTGGGTACTGCTCGCTCGCTCTTGCTTCCCCCAGCTCTCTGCGGCACGCATTTCCTCACGGAGGCCCTCCCGGCCGTCCTAACTGACCGCCTGGATCGACTTGTTCAGGACGTGTATCCACCCAAACAGCAGCTCTCCAGGGTAGGGCCAGAGCTGTGGCACACACTGGGCACGGGCACTAAAACATTTGTGGAAAAGAAGGAAAACTATAAAACTTCAGGAATCCCATTTCTGTTTACCCAAGGAAAATTAAATGCTGATCTGGTAATGGTACTGGATGTATACACGTGGAATGAATATTTAAAAATTGGGGGGCTGAACTCTTTAGTTTCTTATGGAAGTAATTCTTTAATTCTCTATGCCTCTGGCCAACAATATTGCCGACAGCTGTAAACTGAGATGCAGGATGCTTTTCACTCTGTGCCGGTTTGATGAGCTGTATTGCTCTTTTACTGTCCCACCTGGGGTGTGGTGAACACCACACACCAGCTTCAGGACAGAAGGCCCCAGAATGCCCACAATGCTCCGTGCCAGAGCCATGTGGAGGGAAATTCCTGGCTGTGGAGACCAGTAGGGCTTACTGTTACTGCGCATTTTATCTTGTTTATAGGGCTGGCCATGTGACAGCTACCAAGTCACCCTTTGTATGAAGCAGTAACAAAGGAAAAGAGTTTGGGTCTGATACCCAGCAAGAGAACTCTGTCTGTGGTTGCCCTCACGGCCACTTCCGCCTTGCCAGTTACTCAGCATGTTGCCCCGATCTCCTGGAAAAGTCTGGTAGCTGTTACCTACTGCCTCCTCAGGTGAAAGGCTGATGCTGTCTGTGTACAGGTATTCCAGGAAGGCTCGGTAAACAGGGTACGAAAATTCACTCATTTCTACGATATCATCCTCATTGTCTTCCAGTGAAGAACGAAAATGCTCACACCTAATGGAAGAGAGAAGCACGTGGGGCCCTCGCTCCTAGCGAGAGCAGACACCCCCGGAGAGAGACAAGTCCTTGTAGGGCTCACAAATGGGAACCGACAAAAAGAAAGGGAAAATGCAGCACGGTGCCAGATTCGCTTCCCGGATTCGTTTCCCGTTGCACACCTTCGTGTCCCTGTCCTGGTCCCTTGCTTCCTTTGCTGGCCAGGAAGCTCACTCACCAGCACCTGTGGGACAACACTGCAGGTGCAGATCCCCCGAGGTGGAGAGCCCCACCTCTGACCCCCATGAGGCAAACACAAGGCTGGACTCCCAGGCCAAGGTCCTGCACCACAGCCGCTGAGCAGCATTTATGGAAATCAGGTGGGGTTAATTTCATGAACACTGAGTAATTTTGTTTCTTTACCTCCTCTTCTCAGTTGAATTGTGTCCCCCCAGACTTACAGGTTGATGCCCTAACCTTAGAATATAACAATATTTGGAGAAAGCACCTTAACAGAGGTCATCAAGTTAAAATGAGGTCATTAGGGTGAGCCCTAATCCAATGTGACTGGTGTCCTTATAAAAACAGGTAATTTGGACACAGACATGCACACAGGGAGAGCCCCATGGAAAGACTAGGGTGATCCTGCCCTAAGTCAGGGAATGCTGAAGACTGCCAGCAAACCACCAAAGGCATGAAGTCTGCCTTAGGAGAAATGCACCCTGCCAACACCTGGATCTTGGACTTCTGCCTGCAGAACAGGGGAGAATACATTTCTGTTGTTGGAGTCACTCAATGTGGGGCCCTCTGTTACGGCAGCCCTAGCAAACCAAGAGCCCCCACATTTTCCATGCAGGTTTATGAGCTGTGGTGAGAGTGAACAAATGCTGTACAGCCTGCCCTAACTAAGAGGTGAACCCGAGACTAAAATGCCTTGCTGTGTTTGTGACCCATTGTAGCAGGATTTAAATATCTGGCACATGACAACATAATGATTTTTAAAATCATTATGCTAAGAGAAAGAAGCTGGGCACAAAAGATTACACACTGTAGAATTCCATTAACATAAACGTCTAAAAAATACTAACTGATCTAGAATGACTAGAAGAAGATCAGAGCTTGCCCCAGGCCTGGGGCATGAGGGACCTTTGAGGGCTGACAGAAACGTTCCATATCTTGATTTAGGGCAGTGGTTTCACAGACATAAATATATACGTCAAAGCTCCTCAGACTGTACACTTCAAATGGATGCAGATCATTGCTCAAAAATTATACGTCAGTAAATCTGATTTTTATCATCTGTGTTAACTTTATCCCAGACCTTGTTGTGCTGTAAAAACCTCACCTTCTCCTTTTTCCAAGCATCTCAAAGTTCACTATCTCACAACTGATGACAAACCGCGTGACGAACTCAGTTCCTAGGCAAGGACGTGGCCCACGCAGTGCTCGAAGCCCAGAACACGCTCGCCAAGCACCAGCGGGCTGCTCTAACGCTCAGGTACACGGACCACCTGGCTGATGCTGATAAGAAGCTGATAATCCTCACTCCCTGACGGCCCACCCTGCCCCGGACACTCACTATACCACCCACATTGGTTCTCGGTTCTCATGTCACGTGTACCATGTTTCCCCAGCTGCACTGTATGCTCAGAGGGCAAAGCAGCCTTACCAAGTAGAGTTCTGTGAACACCTAGAACATAATGAATGTATTTATTTCAGTTCTCAAAATCAATGACTCCTTACCTAATTTTGAGAAGGACTTTATGTGCATAAATGTACTTTCCATCCACCAGAAACTTGAGGTCGGCCGTGTTGGGGTTGTCAAACTCCCTCTTGAGCGATTCTGCCACTGTAAGGTGGTCGTCGGGTTCTGAGAGAGGAACACCAAACATTTCTAGGGTTAATGACAGACATATAGAAAACGCAGGCCAGAATATAGCATCGCTCTGTGGACCCTCATGAAAATACCCGAAATACATGACCAACTGAGCAATGCTTTTCTCCCCTAAATGTGGATTTTCACATCTCTATCATCATTAAGGATAAGAGCCTCACACACATCTGCTTGGAAAGCTGGTAAAACAACAACTAAAAAGCCCCAGACAGCTCCACTCCATGAAATTTTTGCATGTTTCAGTAAATAGACTGGCTAAAAATAAAAGATACAGTTTCCCAGGAAGATTAAAAGCAGTCAAATAAAATTGCTTTTAATGTGGTATGTGATGTTGGTTTCTGATACTTTCAAGAAAAATTAACCCATCAAATTAGTCTCCTTTTAAAGGAGCCCATGAGAGAAAAATCAATTATATGATACTACATTTAAGGAAGTCCTTACTATCACCACAGAAAGCACCAGAGCTGTCTTCCTAGTGTTCAGGCCAGCACCCAAAGGGACAAAGATGGCTCACCCACGGACAGGAGGCGCCATGAGACAGCAGGCGTGGCAAAGCAGGCAAACACATCGTCGGTGCAGGAGAAGTGGGTGAGGTGGGGCAGGGTCACCGACTGGCCCCGGCACTGGCCCCACATGTACACGTGCCCGCCCTGGGTCTTGGCCGCCGACGTATGCGCTGAATGGCAGGCTGCGATCTCTATGATTCTAAGTTCACAAAGAAAGACCAAGTGAACATGACAAACAGGAGAAGAAACAAGTTGATTTCTCCATCCCCTCACCTTAACTGATTTAAACAAAACAACAGAAGACTGAATCGCCTAAGTGTTCAGGCACCAAACAGTTATTTGCATTTTAGCTCTCCTTCAGTGCGCAAGTCATGAAGATCTGCTTGTTACCCCTTCCTGCCAGTAGGCCTCCAAAAATATGCATCCCATTGTGAAATGCAAGTACCATCCAAGCAAGGGTAGAGACCAAAACAAACAAGTTAACCAAACAGCGATCTAACTTTTTTTCTTAAAACAGGACTTAATGAATTACGTGGAAAGACTTGGGCTACTTAATGCAGATCTTGACCCAATATCGAGAAATATTTTCATCAAAATCTCACCAATTTTAGTGTCAGATGGCACATGCTGTGGGCCACCCCGACTCACACTACAAACAGTAAGGTCAATAGTTCTGAGTCACTGAACTCTATCTTCAAGAGCCCAAGAGAGCAGATTTCAGAAACTGACATACACTAGACCTTAAAGTTCATGAAGGCCACGTTGCTGGTTGACACTATACCTCCTGATGGAAAACCCTGTTTTTGTTGATTTGGAACTAACTCATTTTCCTAAAGAATAAGCCACCATACAGATTCAGAAAACACAGTAAACTATTTTACCCTAAGTGGGGTTGCCATCCTGGTTTTGCCACAGCAGGCCATACCACCAGCATGCTCAGTGACCTGGGCTCAGAACTTCAGAGTCGTCTTTGACTTCTTCTCCCTTCTCACCACTTTTTTCCGGATATCCAGTTGACAAATCACATAGAATCTCTCTTTGTAATTTCTCCCATCTGCCACCACCCTAGGTCAGGCACACCCCACTTGTGGACCAAAGTAACGGCCCCTTATGTCCCCTGCCTTAGACTCTCTCTTTTCTGAACCAAATTGCACAAGGCTGGCAGGTTAACAATCCTCTGGGTAACAACATTCTCATCAGTGCTTTCAAACCATCAGTGGCTTCCCACAGATAAAATCCTTCCATAATTTGTCCTCTACCTGTAGCCAGCCCTCTTTCAAATCACACTTGCCTACATACCCTATGCTCCAATACACAGATGTATTCACTGCCCCTCGATATTCTTATTCACAGTTAAATCCCTTGTTCAAGAATGCTCTTTCCTTTCTCTCTGCCTTAGAAATTCTGCCCATCTTTCAAGACCCAGCTCAAACAGCCCCAAAGAAAGAAGTCTCTTGTTCACCCCAGCACTTGATACATATCCTGTCTACATCACTGCAATCTGGCCCTTATCCTCTCTGGGACGTATGTCTTACCTCTTCAGCTAGATTATAAGTTGCTGGCAGGCTGAATCACTGGCTTATTTCTCTCTAAGTGTGTTTCTCTCCTTAATGTGGTATCTTACTAAGCAATTTATAGGTCATTTTATTGACTAATTGGGAAAGACTCAACAACACAGAGTGACTGAGGAGTGGGAAAGACCCCATTGACACAGGCTAGCAATTGAAGGATGGAGACATCCCTCTACTGCTTGTTTTAATTGGATGTTTTCCAGCTAAGGATGGAAGATGGTCATCATATAAGCTGGAGATGGCTTGCCTCCAAAGGCTGAAGTATATTTTTACATGTGTGGCCCAAGCAATTTTACTCATTTATTCAAGGGCAGCTCTCAGCTCTTGAAGACAGGAGTACTAGAAATGAGGCTACGATGTGCCACAGTTAAGAGCCTAGATATTGGAGTCAAACAGACCTAGGGGTGCATCCTACCTAGCTCCACCGCTAGGCCATGTGACTGTGGGAATGCTCCTGAGCCTCTAGGAGACTCAAGTTTCATCATACTGCAAGGCTAGTACGTGAGAATTAAATGATAAAATGTCAAACACCAAGCACAGTGTACAAATAGTAGCTAACAGTAGAAGTTTCTTTACAGAATTACTACCAAGCGTTTTCAGTGGCAAAGTCTCCCTCATATAGAGACTACACATTTCCAAAGGTCAATTCAGATAGTGAGACCTTTCCTACCTGCATGTTTAAGTCAGTGAATGGGCCCAAACCTCTACTGTGTGCTTTACAAAAGAACATTCCTTGCCCACACAGGGAAAATGGCCAATCCTGCTTGGCTTCTCTTTTCAACAAATAAAGAAAAAAGGGGAATGAAATAGAATAAATACATTTATTCAAAAAAAGGGCCCCTACTATTACCATCTACCCTCACATGGTACACCAAACGTAAGGACAGCAACACACTTCATTTTACACGGCTTGAAGCAGATGGGCAGGGGGTCAGACAGCAGCCTGTGGAGCAAAATCACTTAGACTCTTACCATCTATTTTATCATCTTTACAAAAAAAGGAAAGGTGAGGGTAGCAGAAGATAAGGTAGCAGTCATTTCACAGCCTTGTGGTGAAGAGTAAATGAAATCAGCTACTCAGCACAGGGCACATGCAAAACCATTCTCTTCTGGTGACTCAAGTGTTTACAGTGGCTGCAGGAACTCTCGGAGACCACCTAAAATCTCTTTTCCCTGATAATGTTCTATGAAAAATGTAACTGATGGAAACACAACACTGTCCTTCCACCCAACACCAGAAAACCAAAATAATTTAATTCCTACATTTGCTTCTGAAATTTCCTTATGAGCCTCCATGGAAAGGGAGTAAGGAGCCTTTGCCCTTACGAGAGGTGGGAACATGGCTTGGTGGAGAAAGGGTGGAACAGACATGGCAAAGGGGTCGGGATACAGAGAAGGCTGCAGAGCGCCGGCCTTCCCTAAGCATGGCCTCAGGACGTTTACCTGGAACACCTAGCAGCACACAGGAAGTCAGGGGTGGGGCACGGGCTTGGCTGACGGCAGCAGCTGCTACAGGAACAAGAGCGGAGAAAGTTTAGAGGGAACCATCAGGTCTAAGCGTGGGACCCAACCAACTGCCAAGGCACCCTGCTGTGGCCTAAGGTGATCAGTTCCTAAATCTGATTCACACCAAGAAGCAAATTCTGAAGCTCAGATTTTTCCAGTGTAATATGCAACAGACAGTGACTGAACCGAGCTAACCTTCCCTGGCAGGATGTCTGGCATATTTCACATTTTAGTTTGCAGCCATGTGTAATGAAAAGAAGGTATTACACATTCCTAATAAATGAGTTTTGTGTCACCTCCACAGAATGATCCCCAACAACCACAGCTTAATGGCTGTGGCACTAGAAATGAAAATGCAGGGAGTGAGGAAGAATGTAAAACAGAAAACAGTGAGGAGAGAAAAAAGGTAATTTGTGAGTGAGAAGAAGAGTGGAGAATAAAGAATGATAATAAAGGGTCCAGAGCAGTGACTCCCAAGCCTGGCTTTGTAAGACGCCAACATATTACCAATTGTCGCAAGGTGTCAGAAAATTCACGAAAACGCAAGGCAAACTTAGCTTTAAATCAATTTAACTTCAAATATGCTTTTATGAAACTTCAGGAACAAAGACAAATGCTGGTAAATCAAAGTACTGAGACTTCAGAAAGATTGGGAATGACTAGATTAGAGAGAAGGGAATCACTTGAGTCATTAAAATTACTTTTACGTGAACATAATTTGCTAACAAATGTTATTAGCATTCTTTATCAGAAGTAGACCTCTGTGGGAAAATTTTTAAAAGGTTTTTTCCTTGGATTGTCATTCGAGCAAAGGATCCAGTGTAGACAGATTTTCACTTTCCACTTCTGTGAACAGGTAACTGGGACCTGAAGATCCACCCCACCCTAAATTTAATCCTTTTGTTTCTCATCAGCCAAACTTCCCTGAAATGGGCCCCAAGAGTCAGAAGTGAGTTATTGAGAGATCAGTCATAACATATCTGTGAAAGTTTCAGTTGCTGAAAAGGGTGGGTACGTGCAAAACAAGTCCCAGCAGAATGACAAATTCCTCCCTCGCAATATTCATGTGGTGGAGAGCCTGCAAACTCAGAGCTGACCACAGAGAATTCAGGCATGGAAAGAGAAAGGCAGGACTATCTCTTTCAAAACATTCATCCATGATATTTATTTATTTATTTATTTGAAGATTTTATTTATTTATTTATTTGACAGAGATCACAAGTAGGCAGAGAGACAGGCAGAGAGAGAGGGGGAGGCAGGAGCAGAGAGCCCGACGCGGGGCTCAATCCCAGGACCCTGAGATCATGACCTGAGCTGAAGGCAGAGGTTTTAACCCACTGAGCCACCCAGGTGCCCCTCATCCATGATATTACAGACAAAATAATGATTATGTGGTCAACAGCAAGCATGCAACTGGTTAGCTATTTCTACTTTTTTTTTCTTACATTTATAATTCAAAATTTGAAAAAAGTTAAAAAGATTTTTTTTTAATTGGAGTTTTAAAAAAGAGACAAAAAAAGCAATACTCTCAGGTATCAGGTAAGGAGCTGGCACTCCATAACTCCCATGCCCTGCTTTTCTGCATCTCCTGCCCTCCCCACGAAGCTGCCCTATAATCCATCTGGCCCAGCGGGACTAGAGTCAGAAGACCTGGCGCTCAGGCTGGGGCAATCGGGGACCAGCAGCGCGATGTGGGGCAAGTTGCTGGCAGGCACATAGCAGTGGACTTGGCAAGTCCAGAAGCAGAAAATGCAACTAGCATGGCTGTGTGCATGGACGCACGTCCACCGATTCCTGTCCTCCAGTCCCCCTTCTCCTCCCCAGTCCTTAAGAGGTCCAAGGTCTTATTCTAAGATTTTGGGGAAAGAAACCAAGAACAGGTCTTTTTTTTTTTTTTAAATAAAAACCTAACTGACACAGGTTAAACAAAATTGGCCAATCTTATAACAACTGAAAATCAAGGGGGTTAAAAATGACAATTTGGTTCTTTGCTTTCATTGTTAAATATTCCAACAGGAAAATATAAAAGAACTGGATACAAAGGAAAGATCATCTCTGTGTCCATATTTTTACTTTAAAATCAGATGTAACCAAAATTAATATTCACTATAAAAAAGGAAATAGCAGTATTAATTTCTACAATGATTGCAGCCCTGGTTTAACAAAAACACTAATGAGATATTTTTGTTCCATTTTAGTGTGTCAAAAGATGTAGAATGAAAAAGCAGTGAGATAGCCATGTCTGAGGCACTCAAAAGGCTTTCAGCAATAGTAGGATAATGTAGGGAAAAATTCTGGATTTGCTAACTACTTAACACAACCTTGCAAACAAATGGGCAAAACTAAGTCTCAATTTTCTCACCATTTTGTACTTCCTCACAGTGATAGCTTGGGAGCTAAAAGAATGAGCCAGTCCTATCCTTTCAATTGGCATAATTATAAGTAGCGGAGTAAATAGCTTTGTACCCTACCCCATTTGAGGTACTTTGGCTTTCCTAAGCCACAGAAGATTAACCTCAAACATTATTTAACTTCCTCTTAAGATTACAAAACAGAAAACAATAAGGAGGAAAAGGTAATTTGTGAGGGAACAGAATAAAGTGGGATATTGCAGGTTTAGTCCTTGTCATTAGTGTAGAGCAGCTGAAATACAGGTTAAGTACAAAGTCTAACAACGTCTAATGTCTAACATGCAATCTCTCCAACAGTTCAAAAGCCAACTTTATTTTACTTTTTTATTTTTAAAAGATTTATTTATTTGAGAGAGAGAGCAAGCACGAGTGTGGGGAGTGCCAGAGGGAGAGAGACTCCCCAAGCAGACTCCCCACTAAGCATGGAGCCCGATGAGGAGCGTGATCCCAAGACCCTGAGACAGTGACCCAAGCCTTAAACAAGAGTCCGCTGCTCAACCAACTAGCCACTCAGGCGCCCCCAAAGGCCAATTTTAAAAAGGAATGAACACTCTCATGAAAGAATATTCTAATATTAGCAGCAAGTTCCCCACAATTCTATATCATGTCTACATTCTGTTTTATCGCTAAAGAACATGCGTGTTATTTTGAAAATGCACATATTACCTGTCCTTTTCCACAACGACAGGCGCAGGATAGGACTGGTTACTTTTATTGCCAGTGCCCAACTGGCCATAAGAATTTGCACCCCAAGCATACACTTGGCCTTCATCTGTTAACACTAAAGTATGTGCATAGCCACAGGCCACCTGGAAACAGAGAAACCAAATCCACTTAGGCCTGCAAATATGCTTTCACAAGATAGGTTAAGAATCAAAGATGCAAAAAAAAAAAAAAAAGAAGAAGAGTAAGAGGCAGCCTGCTCAGAGAGGCAAAACATGAAGGTAACCGGTACTTGCCCAGAACTAGCTTAGCCTGTGTGTGGCCAAAACTGCAGTAAGTTCAACACGAGTCCTGTGGTGACACAAGTGTGCTTTGTTCAGCTTTACTATAGCATTCATTATGCTCACAGAGATCAAGGGTTATGAAGTGAATATGGAACACACTTTTACTTTTTAAGAATTTTTCCCTTTTTTATTGTAAAAGTAAAAATGTTTGATGTGGAAAAAATATAGAAAAGTGTAAATATGAAAGTAATCTCAAGATCAGGATTATTTTTCTACTTCTATACAGAATAGGGATATGTACCATGCCTCCACGCATCATATCTATATCTTTATTTCTATTGACATCACATAACACTATTTCCATATCATTAAAAACCCTTCATAAACATCATTCCCATTCATATAGATTTAGTATAATTTATTTAACCATTAATATATTATTTGACTAAATTATGCTATATTATTTATGTTATTTATTGAAGTTAACATTTTTTCTTTTTTCTTTCTCTTTCCTTCTTTTTTTTAAAACCTTTTCCACTAATTCCAGAAGTGTCTTTCTTTTTGCTTCCTTAAGATAATACCCTAGGAATAAAATTATAGAACACAGGGTATAAATATTTTCAAGGCTCTCGATATATACTGCTGAAGTTTCCTTGGAAAACATCATAACAATTTACGTTCCAACAGCTACGTTTGAGACGGGCCTAGAAACATGTATTTTCTGACAAACATCTATAACTTAAGTCAGGGAAATAGAGTTTTAGCCTTTACTTCAATGAAGAAAAACATCAAGCAGCTAAACTTTTCATCTGCCAAGAAAACTGTGTCGATTGGCATCTTTGCCACTAAAGACTGAAAAACAGGCACACATAAACGAGTGGCGGACATACCCGCTGGACACGAATGCCTTGCAGAGCTGCTATCCTACAGGGTGTTGGCTGGTTGCCGCTACTGCCAAGTCCAAGCTGCCCGTTTCCATTGTAACCCCAGACATAGACCTGAGGGAAAACCGGAGACTCAATGCCCATGAAAAACAGAAGTAAGCAAGCACTCTGTTGAGAAACATGCCATGTCGGGATGACAGCAATAAGGCAACTGGGTTTTTTTAAACAACATACGAAACCACTTTCTTACCTCCCCAGTGTTCACCACTGCCATTGAACACATCTGCCCACATGCTATGTTCACAACCACTTTATTCTGCAGGCAGCCCGTGACTCTTCGAGGGATCGGCTGATTAGCTGTTGACCCAGAGCCTACCTGCCCGGAGTTGTTATAACCCCAGGCAAATACCTGGGAATTGAAAAATGAAACATGCTAATTCATAAAGTGTCTCAACTGGGTCTCCTCTTTGCTCTCAAATTCTCTGCTCACACCACAAGTAGAGAATTTTTATAAAATTCATTCTTACAAAATACGTTACTTCATAAAATTAGGTTATTGGTACTATCTACACAAATAGCAATAATTATTCTCAGATATCACATAATATTATTAAAATATCTACTTTACCTTAACCATATTTTCCAGCATTGTGGGATTTTTCCTCTTGCAGATAAAACCTTTGAGCATAGTAATATAGAAGGAACATCAAAGCCTTTTAAATTTTGCAGTTATAGAATTCCCTACTACATAAAGGTACACTTCATGATATAACCACCAGGACTATGAATTGCTAATAAGAATAAGACTGAATTTGAGGAAGATGGTTATTTTAATCAAATGATCATATTTCTAAGACTGCTATAAGAATCTATATAAACTTATTGGAAAAAATCAATGAGATTTTTGCTAACTAGTCTCACCTCTCCATCAGATGTTAGCACCAAAGAATGGTAAGACCCACAGGCAACTTCGGTGACTTGCTTGTTTGACAAATTAGTAGAAATATGACAGGGCACTAAACCATGATTAGTTGTCCCATTGCCCAGCTGGCTATAAGCATTATGACCCCAGGTAAAGACTTCTCCTTCTGAAAATAAAAAGAAATACGACAGCTTTCAAAACATCTACTTTATTATATGAACATATATATCGCAACACCTCCATGAATGAAAACTAAAAATTCATGTGCGAAAGCACCAAACTCATTCTAGAAAAGATAACATTTGGAAAGTATAAACTATATTCTATCTCAAAGCAACAAGATGAAATTTAAATGGATGCAATTATAGTAGCTGGAAGATAGGTTTTTTAATAAATGGCAGAGAAATGCTACTAAGACGAAGAGGAAGAAACATTAGATTGAAAGTCAGAGGATAACGGGAAGATCATTTAACTTCTCTGGGCCTATATTCTTATCTATAAAATGATCAAGTTAATTTTAAAATTGTTGTTATTATATTATTTATTGTATAGTATAATACATATTCAGAAAAGTTCATAAACTATATATGCAGTTTTATAAATAATTATAAAACACACACCCATATACTACCACTCAGGTCAAAAAATACAACCTGATGCTCACTCCCAAAGTTCCCAATATATAATCTTGAATAAGAGATTTCAGTTTTTCCTGTTCTCGGACTTTAAATAAATGGAGTCATACAGTATATACTCCTTTTGTCTGTATTTTCTACCATATTATCTCTTTGTGCTACATCCCAGATAATTTCTTCTAATCTTCCAGTTTATTTTCTTTTGCTGTGTCCAAACTGCTATAAAACTTGCCCACTGACTTTTTCATTTTGATAATTATATTGTTTATTTGGTTCTTTTTCAAATCTTCTTTGATCTCTGCAGGTATCTTCAAGATCACTTTGTACTTTCTCAAACAATAAATAAATATATATAGTAATAAATATAGCCATCTTGTAACTGGTATCTGACAGTTCTAATATCTGATACTTAGTGGTCAGTTGGTCAGTTTTTGCGATTTTTTTTTTTTTTTTTTTTTGCTGGTTCTTATTCATGATGTCTTGTTTTCTTGTATACCTGATTATCTTTGACTATGTGCTACTAATTGCCATTGAACACTCATTTTTCAATGGCATTATAGTTCCTCAGGCCTAGGATGAAGTGAAAAGACCTTCTTGCAGAAAGGACCTACATTAACTTCTGTTAAGTGCCACTAAGGCACTTAAAGGTACTTCTTTGATAAATCCAAGGCTTGAGCTTTCTTGGATGGCCCAGTCTGATGTGAACTGGAATAAATATCCATGACTGTAACCCTTCAGGGAGGGGTTTACTTTTTTTTCTTTTTTTCCTCCTTTTTTGCTCACAGCCAAGGGTTTTTCTTTTCAGTGCCTTAGAAAAGGAGAGCTAGCCCATCCCTGTTCCTAGATTGTAGCCCTTTGTGGGCCTCGCATAACCTGTTAGATCTCTGACTCATGATCCCTTCTACCTTGTAAGGACATCAAACCAGAACTCCATTTATGTGGAGAGGCAGATGCCCTTAAGGCAAAACTAGCTTTAAGTTCCCCTTTAACCTTAGTTCACACTTTCTCTTAAATATGATCCAATAATTTCTCTCAGCCTTGTCAGTGCTTTGATGCCTCTATGAAAAAAATTTTAATATTTTATTAGAATTTTTAGTTGTTTCCAGTGAAGAAGTGGGCCAAAAAAACTAGCCTATTACTGGCAACCAAAATTCCCTAAAATTTATGTGAAATTAGTTTACAAAAGAGTGTTTATAAACTTTATTTTCAGTTCAAAGAATACTAATAAAATGAATACTCAGCTTAAGAAAAATGCTAAAGTATGATTTAATTATAATGTCCTATTGGTGTGAATTCATGAAACAGCCATGAGACTATTTAATTCCTTATATTACTACTATCAAATACAGTCATTAGTCACTGTTGATGGTCACAATCTCAGAGTGCTAGAAGTTAGAGGGCATCTTGGAATTTAGCTCTAGTGTCTTAATTCGTAGGTCAGGGATCTCAAGTTCAGAAAGTCCAGAGTGAATTCAGCATTTTAATGCAATAATAGTTTAACTTTTAAAGTATAAATAAAAGGGGTTTACTGGGCTTACAGCACTGTCATTTTCACATCAAAAATGCCAATAGTTGCCAGATTCTCTCTGCTCTGTTATCTCACTCTGATATTCAGATATGTTCATATTTCATGTTACCCAAGGTAATGTTCACAGGGCAGAGCCAGAAACTCCTACCCAATCAAAAAGTATGTTCTTGATTTAAGGGGTGGTCCTAAGTCTTGTTTACCAATAAATAAGTCAGTAGCTAAAATTCTACACTGTGTCCCTAAGTTACCTGTTGTTGCAAGGACAATATGGGGGCCACTCCCATAGCTGAGGCAGGCTATTTTTTTGCCATTTAAAGACTCCAGTCTCCGAGGTTCGATGGTACTCTGGACATCACCTAATCCCAAACAGCCACAGCAGTTTGTGCCAAGCACAAAAATCTGAGGGGAAAACCACTGTTAGTTCAAGCACTTCTATTTCTGACAAACCCATTATTATTGCTTCATTGTATAACATTATATAATAAGTAAGAATCCACCCTCCATGCCTTTTTTAAAACCTAATTCCTTAGTTCCCCCCACCCCAGGATCTTCAACTTAGCAAACCCATTACTCTAAGTGTCTGAATTTTTTCTTCAAAATTTACCTCGTCATTTACGGTAGTATATAAAACTTCATTGCCAGCACTGCCAAAGACACAGGCTTGACGAATTAACTGCAGTTCTTCCTCAGAACAAAGGGAGAAAATTGGCCACTTTCCCACATCTAACATCTTCAAAGATGACAGAGTAGCCTGTACTGGCTGAAAAGGAAAAAATTAAAAATAAATAATAAATAAATAAAATTAAAAAACACACGTGTATTCACATACACACACACACACACACACACACACACACACATATTAAGACTATTAATTTAAAATTTTTTTTTTTTCCCTTCCCCTTTGACTTCTGTGGAAGTCAGCACCGGCTCAAGGAGGGCCCGTTCTTTCTAGTTTTGAGAGGCCCCTCACAGCTATGGAAACTGTCATGAAAAGCCCACTGCTTCAGTCCTGCTCTCACAGCAACCAAGAGCCTGAGATCCCCGCTGGGACCAGATCTCACCTACTAATTTTCCTCAGGGCCACAAGAACCGTCCAAAGCTGACTTCTGTACTTTCAGTACTATGTCTTAGATGTAGCTCTGGAAACTAGGCTGGTTGGAAAGGCAGGAAAGGCAGGAAAAACTGAGAGGGCACGGGGATTTCATCAGGCACCTACGTCTTGACAAAATGCGTTCCTGGAAAAGAACAATGCTGAAGGTAACACCAAGGAACCAGTCCAGAAGTTTCGGTTCTTGGGTCCATTCTGACTGTCAGTCGAGCAGTTAGTGGCTTCCCTCGTCTATCCCCCCCTCCACCCACTCAGGTTTGGGGATTGCTAGGAATACACACCCACAAAGAATGTATTTGTTTGCTTGGGCTGCCATAGCAAAGTACCACAAGCTGAGAGGCTTACACCAAAGAAATTTATTTTCTCACAGTTTTGGAGGCTAGAAGTTCAAAGTCAAGATAGCTGCTAGCTTGGTTCCTCCTGAGAGCTGTGAGGGAAGGACCTAGGCCTCTCTCCTTGGCTTGTGATGGCCATCTTCTCCCTGTGTCTTCATATCATCTTTGCTGCATGCACGTCCATCTCTTGACCCAAACTGCCCCTTTTCATAAGGGCACCAGTCATACTGGAATTAGGGCTCACCGTAATAACCTCAGCTTAACTAATCACATCTGCAATGACCCCATTTCCAAATAAGGTCACCTTTTGGGGTCCCAGGGTGTCTTAGTGCATTTATGCTGCTCTAACAGCATGCCACATGGGGTGGGTTATAAACAGCAAAAATTTACTTCTCATAGTTCTGCAGACTGGGAATTTCAAGATCAAAGCACCAATATGCTCATATTCTGATGAAGGCCCCCTTCCTGCTTCATAGCCACTGCCTTCTCACAATGTCCTCCTCATGGGATGGAAGGGGCAGGGATCTCTTTGGAGACCCTTTTATAAAGCACTGATCCAATTCATGAGGCTTCCACCTTCATAACTTCATCACGTCCCTAAGTCCCACCTTCTAATAACCCCCACCTTTGGGGGTTAGGATTTCAAATAGAAACTGGGGTTGGTGGGGGGGAAACAATTAAACCCATAAAAGCATACGTTAAGATCATAAGCTCCTGTGCTCCCATAAGAGCATACTATGTGGATACTGTAAAGCTGTTTTAAAGAGAACTTTTATTTATTTGCTCTACTGGAAACATTTTTACATATGTGCTTTGCAGCTTTCAAAAATTTGAGGATTACAATAAGGTGCATAAACAGCCAACGTTGTCTTTCAAATGGCATGTCACCATACTCCTGCTTAATTTAAAGGAGCAAAGGATTTTCTGAGGCCTGTCTTTCCTGTCAGCTATTAAGTCAACCTTACCAGGAAAGCATTCTGGTAGAAAGCTGATTGGACTAGCTACTTATTTTCTGCAGATCTGAAAGTATATTTGTCCCACCCACTTTAGGAGTCAGGAGAGTGTATGCGTGTGTAGACACACACACACACACACACACACACACACACACACACACACACACATTATGATGACTTGGCTCACAAGATGATGGAGATTTGGAAGTCCCATGATCTCCATCTGCAAGCTGGAGACCCAGGAGGGCTGGTAGCATAATTTAACGAACCCGAAAGCCTGAGAACCAGGGGAGACAGTGATGTATATCCCAGTCTGAGGGCAGGAAAAGATGAAGTGAAAGTGACCCCTATCAATCAGTGAAACAGGGAAAAAAAGGGATGAATGCCTCCTTCCTCCCTTTTGTTCTATTCAGTCCCTTAGCACCGTGGATAATACCCACCCATACCAGGGAGGGCAAACCATTTACTGAGTTCCCCAATTCAGAAACTCTTCTAGAAACACTCACACACACACACACACACACACACACACACCCAGAAGCAGTGTTTAATCTGGCACCAGTGGTCCACTCAATGTGACACAAATTAAGCAACACACCATGCAAAGGAGCCCACATGGTCACAGAGGCAGAGACTGGACCAATCACCTCCAGGTCCAGGAACCCCCAAGGACTGACAGAAACCTCCAGAAGCTGGGAAGAAGAAAGGAAGGCTTCTTCCCCCAGAGCCTTCAAGAAGTATGTCCCTGCTGACCCCTTAATTTCAGACTTTTAGTCTCCAGAACTATAAAAGAATAAAGGTCTATGGCTTTAAGCCACCCGGTTTGTGGTGAAGGCAGCCCTAAGAAACAAATGCAGAAAGTAGGCAGCCTGTAACTGTAAACAGCATCTTCCTGAGTTAATGGCAGCGCCTGAAGCAGGATGAGCTCCCCTGATGCCAAAGCCAGACACTGCCCTAAGCGGGCCACGCAAGCTCTAAGACCTTGTCTGGAGAATGAAGCCCTTGGTTATCTTTTGGGCAGCACCCAAGGCCACTATAGAGCTAAGGGCAGAATCTCTCATTATGTTAGCTTTTAGTCCAATCTACCATAAATCACCCACCTCCTTATATCACGAAGGAATCTTATCTTCTCTGGGGTCTGCATTTTAATTTTTTTTCCTATTTAAGTCTATAAATTTCAAAAAGAACAATGTCTGGGATGTGGCATCAATTATTTATAGATGAACTAGTATGCTAGTTAAAAGAATTCTTACATATTATCTCTAATCTTCACAAATACAGGGCATAGATATTGCCATCCTCATTTTAAATACAAGGAAACTGAGGTAGAGGAAGACCAAGTAATCTTCCAAGATCACTTGCTTATAAGACTGTTTTCCATATAGCACATATTGCAGAGAAAAAAAGTTCACATACCACGTTATACCACTGGAAGATCTAGCTTACAATTGCAAGGCTTTGGCTGTTCTCATCCGGTCCTTAACGAACAAGGCAAGAATACACACTGTGGGCTACCTTCCATGAACAGGGCGGACAGGAATATACAAAGAGAAAATAAGCATTCCCACCTCATTTTCTCCTTTCAAGCAGATTTTTGGATTTCAAGCTGCCCTGCTACAAAAATCCAGTGGTTTTCTTAGATGCCTAGAATCAGGTGGTAAATCCAACAAGCTCCTAAAACACCTGTCTACAAATCCTTGGTTCTGAACTTTTTTTCTGACTCACTTGTACCCAACCTCTAGTACCCACCCCATGACTCTACTAACCACTGGGATTCTAGTGCGTGCGTGCGTGCGTGTTGAAGTGTAACCTGCAGTCATACATCCGTTAAAGGTTGCCACAAGTCAAAAGAACATCAGGTGTGACAGTATCACTGATCGTGTATTAAGGGCCAGATACGAAAGGTATAAAAATGAAACACAATCCCTCCCTTCAAGGAGCTCACAATGTAACAGAAAACGAATACTTACAATATAACCTGGGTACAATGGAGGTGTGAATACACTGCTTTTAAACGTCTGTCAGAAGGCTGGCTCCTGGAGGTGAATCATCAAAAAAAATTTTTGTTTTCTAAGTCTTGTGGGGGAGTTATTTCTTGGAAGAACTTATGACTTAATTTGTAAAAGGCATACATTTACACTTTTCAGAGGTAAATACTTCCTATCCATCTCAAGGAATTGTAGCATCTGTGTTCTCAGAAGAAAATATTTCTTTACAACACACTCATGAGTGTACATAGCTGTACACATTACATATATTGTAAACATGTATATATATTGTATGTATGTGGAGACTTTGTATATATAACAAGAGTGGAGGTGACATAGGATTCACACACAGCTCCTAGGGGAGAAACAGCCACCCTGCATGACAATAGCCATCTCTGCAAAAGGCACCCGACCACCTTTGTGCCCAACTGGTTAAGTAAGGAACCCGCTGAGCCAGAGCCAAGGTCAAGCAACAAAAAAATCTGCATGGGGGAAAAGCACTACCAGGGAGTGAGAGCTTAACAGTGCACACAATAAGTCTTCAAGACCGTGTCCCTAGAATTCAGTCCTAATTTGGCCCAGGTAACCCTCCTTCCTGCGCATACTACTACTATAGGCAGTAACTATTCCCTGGTCAGCTTTCCTTTACTTTCCTTTACATCCAGCCTCTCTCCCCCATCTTTCACTGGCCTCTGTTTGAGAAATGCAAAGTGGCAAAATTTTAATATTAGCTCAAGGAAAATATAATTAAGGATCACAGCTCCATAAAATTAGAGACCAAGATGCATTTTATTACTCCTTTGAGTATGGGCTACCTATAGAATTCTGCTTCTCCACCCAAATGAAGAACTGAACAGATTATGATACTTCACTCAACTCTAGACAACTAAGTTGTCACAATTACATTTAAAATACAGCACATAGAAATAGAACCAAAATTACCTGTTGAGCATGACTAACAAAAAAGTTATTTTAAGAAACCCACCAACACCTTGCCTTTGGAGGACTTTCTGGCAATGCAACACTTTATATGTAATAGTCATTTCATCGCTAATTCTGTTACTCTCTTTTATTTTACAAAATCTGTTCTTCCTGGGAAAAATTGGGAATTTTTCTATTAACATTTTAGAAGATTCTCAAGTTTTATACATTATTTTGTAAGCTAATTTTCTATTTTGCTTTAAGGGCTCACAAACGAACACTTCAAGTCAGCACACGGTAATGCTATGGTTTGGTTTCAGATGTTTTGCCATCTTTGTAAACTATGCTGGCTTTTTATAATTATTTACATCTTTCATTGTGTTTTGACCATATAATTATTTACATCTTTTATTGTGTTTTGACCATACTTTATTTAAAAACAGCAGAAAACAAAAATGAAAATTAATAGTGGCAATTAGTATCAAGCTGCTAATAGTAAAGAACAGATATTGTGTCAATTTAATAAAATTAACACAAGACAGAAATCAATGTGCATGCTGAAAGATGGGAAATTTTAACATGAGTAGGATACATAGGAGTTAAGCTGGTTGACTGTAATGTTGAGCTGTGAAGGAGAAGGAATAAGTCAAAGAATATCTATGATGAATTAAGACTACATCATCTAAGATTAGGTATTTTATAATTATGTTAAGTCTCTGGCAACGAAGTAAACATTATTCAACTCAGATCCTTTTGCAGGACAGTGTTATCTGTGAAAGCTCCAAAAGCACCATTTCTGGGAACCCTGCTCTACCCCTCAGCTAATACCCACAGCTTTCTGCCGGCCCCTATAGTATGCTATATACCCATGATAATTATGTTTGCATCTGAGCCACTATACTGTGAGACCCTCAAAGACAGATGCTATCTCCCTCATCTTCCTGTTGGGTGAACAGTAGATGTTTGATACATGTTTCATGCAACAGAAAGTACACATGCCAAAGGCATGTTTGTATGTTTTCTTCTAACCTTGCCACTTTCTCCATAGGAAAGGGAAAGCTCTTCCTCCATATGGACTCAGTCCTGTGCAGTCCCCTAAGGAAAAAGTATGTGGTAAAATCAGGATCCCATATGTCAGATGAAACTAGGCAGGTTAAAATGATTTTACTTCCAATTAACAGAGAAAATAAGCTAAGCTCAAATATGGTGAAGGGATGATAAGAGAATTAAGGTTTAGGCATGAGAGTTAATAGCTAAAGGTGTTTTAACTGTTCTAGAACTATCATATGGTCTCTTATGGGAATCCTCCTGCAGAGGTCTGGAAAAGTAATCCCAGGATAAATAAAGATTCTTAAATCTATAAGGAAATAAGTAGAAAATTTTCTTTTTACAGTTGACCTACTACAGATAAGAAAAAATAAATTTTAGACCTTGGTCAAATTTCCTCTGGGATTGGAAAGTTCCAAATCACTGTGAAGAGCAGACTTACCAGTTCTCAGCTCCATGGAAGAGTATATGATTTGCTAAACTGAGGGAGGTGGGGAGAGGAATGAATGAAAAAATGAAAGGATGAAGAATGAATAGAGCTTTGTTTATCCTAGACCTTAACAACAAATCTGCAACAACAGCCATCAAGTTTGTAGCAGCAGCACTCAATGTTCTTGCCTTAATGAATCATCGCTATGAAGATTACTTTCTACCACATAAAAGTAACCAAAGAAGAAGCTCTACCAAAAGAGCCACAGCATGGGCTCTCTCTTTGCTCAAAGGATTCCCCTTAATATTTCTTGCAGGGCAGGTCTGGACTGTGATTCAATCATTACATAGTTGACTCTCTCATCCCTAAAAATAAATATAAATAAATATTCTCTCTCCTCCCAAAAGCAATTGAATGAAATCTTATTTAATAATTTTGATATTCCTGGGGCACCTGGGTGGTTCACTGGGTTAAAGCCTCTGCCTTCGGCTCAGGTCATGATCTCAGGTTCCTCGGATCGAGCCCCACTCTCTCTCGGGCTCTCTGCTCAGTGGGGAGCCTGCTTCCCTTCTCTCTCTCTCTCTCTGCCTCTTTGCCTACTTGTGATCTCTGTCAAATAAATAAATAAAATCTTTAAAATAATAATAATAATTTTGATATTTCTGATTTATTAGTTGGGGTTCTATTTACTCAAATACAACCCACATTTCAAGGGTTAACATCAGAACATTTTATTTTATATTATCTACAGGCAATTAGAACCTTATAATAGACAGATAAAAACAATAATCAATATAAGGTCAAGTCTTAACAATGTTCCTTATCAATGTTTTATATGCCCGTGAGGATACTGGTAAAATTTTGTTTTCCTCAGCTATAAAAAGTTCTCTCAGAATATAAGGAATAATCATATATTTAGAATAATTATAGCTCAAACTGTGGCAACTGATACAAATCATTATTTCTTTCTTTTTAAAATTTATTTATTTATCTATCTATTTATTTACTTAGAGAGTATGAGCAGGGAGAAGGGCAGAGGGAGAGGGACAGAATCTCAAAAGCAGACTGCATGCTGAGTGAGGAGCCTGAGGTGGGGCTCGATCTCACCACCCTAAGATTATGCCCTGAGCCAGAATCAAGAGTCAATTAATCGACTTAGCACCCAGGTGCCCCCAAAATCATTATTTCTAACGTCTAGAAAAGATATACTTGTTTTTAAAAGAATTACTTGGACTTTTCTCACTTGTAAACTTATAAAACTTGATCTAGTTCCAATATGGAAAGATAATTTCATGTGACAGTTATCCCTACATGATCTGTCTTGTCTATTAATTTGCAAGCTGTTTGAAAGGCAACCATGACTCGTTCACTGCTATAACCACCGCAGGACATGGTTTGGAGAAGAACACAAGACTATATATTGGTTGAAAGCATTCTTTTAATACAGCTTTTTGTATACTGGAGACTGCCTGAATCGAGGTTCTTTTCTTTCTGTTTCATCCTAATTGGAAGGACATTTTCCACATCTACTCCAGGTTTACTAGAACAAGAAATAAAAAGAGGGGAGGGGGGAAAAAGAAAGTAGAAGAGAAGAGGAAAAAGAGTAGAAGAAGGGAAGTCAAAGGGAAGAAAAAAAAAAAAAAGGAAATAAGTAGGAGGAAAAGGGACCAAAGATGAGCTATCACTGCCCCTCATTGTAATGTAGGCCATTTTTTGTTCCTAGGAGAAGGGAAATCTTGCTAATACACTAAGATCCTAGAACAGCAATCCTGGGTTGTTGTTTCCCATCCCATCCCCCTACCATTACTGGTTTCTGGTTTATTCTTACTTTTTCTTTTTGCAAAACCAGGCAGATTGGGCGCCTGGGTGGCTCAGCGGGTAAAAGCCTCTGCCTTCAGCTGTGGTCATGATCCCAAGGTCCTGGGACAGAGCCCCACATCCGGCTCTCTGCTCAGCAGGGAGCCTGCTTCCCCCTCCCCCACTGCCTACCTGTGATCTCTGTCTGGCAAATAAATAAATATAATCTTAAAAAAAAAATAGGCAGATATGTGTCTATGTTTTTATTTCCTAATTCTTCTTTACACAAAAAATAGCATACCTGATATACTCCAGCAAACTGGTTTTGTTTTGTTTTTTCATTTAACAATATCTCCTGGAAATCAGTCCTTATCAGTTAACAGAGATTTTTTTTTTAATCAGTTGAATATCCTGTTTTTTGTTTTCATTTTAAAATCCTGCTTTTTTTAAGGAGGAAAAGAAATAGCTCTTTTTGGTGCCTTTGATTAATTTCAAGTACAGTAACTCTTTAAAAATTAGAATGGTGGAACATAGGGCATTCTGTTTGACTAATCAAGTTAAGACATAATTGTATGAATAGCATATTGAAATTACCATATTTCAAGAAATAACATTTGTAAAATTCAATTAAGGCTAAATATAACATTGGTATAATTTCATCTTTATTGGCCAGAATGTTGTTGAAGATTTTAAAATTATGCAAGAATAATTACTATTGTACAGTACTATGAAAAAACTGTTGAATTCTCTAGCATTATGGAAAGTAGTTGGATTTTTTTTTTCTAACTTTATTTCAATGTGATCAAACATAATAGAGAAAACTAGCTTCCCCAATTTGCACAACTTGAGAAATACAGTTTATGGAATATATGTAAGGATTATAGTTATCTTCTCCTATTATCTACATGATTTCACCAGGCTATTATTATTATTATTGAGAGAGAGAGATTATGTGTGTGAGCAGGGGGAGGATGGGAGGGGCAGAGGGAGAGGGAGAGAATATTAAGCAGAGTGTGTGTGCTGAGCATAAAGCCTAATGCATGGCTTGATCTCACAACCTTGACATCATGACCTGGCCGAAATCAAGAGTCAGATGCTTAACAGACTGAGCCACCCAGGCACCCCTCACCAGGCTATTACTAATATCAATGTTATAGCAGTACATCAACATACACTTCTTAAAAATCCACAATATACATAAAGAATACCACATCTATGAATTCTAAATAATAGCAGCAATAATAATAACAGTTAAAATAAATAGCCGGTACCAGGTATTAAGGGCCTTATATTATCTCATTAAACTTTATAGTAGCCAAAAGTGGCAGATAAAGTCATTGCCTCCATTTTACAGATATGTTTCAAAAACTTGACCAACCATCACCTACCAGTCAGGGTTAGAGCCAGTATCTGAACCCAGGACAATTACAAAACTCCTCTCCTGGACCCTCCCCTACATTGCAGGGATATTTTAAGCTTTCCTGTGTACCTTCCAGTTTTATTTTGTACTGACCAGCTGGGACTATTCCATCCAAAAATTTTTGTACCTGATTGTTTTAAATTTCTGGAGCCCTGTATTCAGTCATCTTTAATCCTGCTCCTTCTAGATCCTTGTAAAGTTGTCTTCTAGGATAAAGTTAATGTGACTGAAGAACATAAACGCATAAATAAATTCCATTACAAAAAAAGCAGAGAAGAAAAAAATATACCATCTTGCAACTTTAAAAAGATAACATTATAGGTATATAGTTCAAAATCCTATTAGCTCTATTATTAAAAAGGAGCAATAGAGGTGCTCAATTATTAAAAAGCAATTATTACACATTATAACCTTTATATAACATTTATAACTTTATGTGGTAAGTTTTAGGACCATTCTTCAACAATTTGGGCACTGTAACATATGAAAAAAACACATACTAAAAAAAATTTGTAAGCATACTCTTTTTTATTGTTGTTGTTGTTGGAGAGAGAGGAGGAGCAGTGGCAGGCAGAGGCAGAAGCAGGCTCCCCGCTGAGCAAGAGCCCAATGTGGGACTCAATCCCGGGACCCAGCGATCATGACCTGAGTCGAAGGCAGACACTTAATTGACTGAGCCATCCAAGCGTCCCCCCAAAAAAGTTTAATTTGTAGTATGTCAACATAGAAAATGTAAAGGAAGTCATCTTGAATGTGAAAAAAGCAAAACTTTGAAATTTTTGGAAGAAAGTATAGAAAACATCTTTGTGACCTCAGGGCTGGGAAAGATTTCTTAAATAAGATACAAAAGCATAAACCACAAGAAAAGACTGGTGAAATTTACTACATTAAAACTTTAAGAATATGGCATACTAAAAGACAAAATGAACAAAGGGAAACATGTCACAGAATGGGAGAAGGTATTTTCAACATATATAACTGGTGGCTCGCAGAGGATTTGCATCCAGAATAGATAAGAATACCTAAAAATCAGTAAGAAAAAAACCCAAGCAATCCAATTTAGAAATGGGCCAAAGACAAGGCAAGTCACAGAAACAACTAATAAACATATTAAAAGATGCTCAAATTCACCATGGAAATTCATTGCAATCACAATGAAATAGATCTCACCTGTCACATCTGCAAAATTAAAGGGGGACAATTCCTACTGTTAGTGAGGATGCAGATCAAATAGTATACCCATCCTGCCATAAGAAACATAAACTGGTATAGTCATTTCAAAGAGTAACTCAACAATATGTAGGTCAGAGCAGTGTGCCTTTCATTCAATCTTTTTTGACACATATATGTACCTGAAACAAAAGTCTCACAAAATAATTCTTACCCTTATTGTATGAGGTGCTAAGGGATATCTTCTTTTCTATTTTTTCTATCTTACTCTATTTTATTCTACCCTGACTCTGTCCTATTTTATCCTTTCCTATTTCATTTTTAAAAGAAAATGCTGGTCTCAACCTACTAAAATAATTTGAGGATCACTAGTAAGCCCTGCCTTATAGCTTGGACAACGCTGGCCTAGATGAACTCTAGAACATACATGCAATTGTTTGCAGTAGCAAAAAACTAGAAATAGCAAACAGAATTGATCAACAGGATCCATCAATAGAATTTATAAACTATCGCATGTGTATACCATATAGCAATTAAAATAAATTATCTAGAATCAACACAGATAAATGTCCAAAATAATTTGAGCCAAAAATCACTAAGTCACAGAATGATACATATGGTACACTATTTGATAAATTATTTGATCTAATTTGATAAAGTTTAAAACATGCAAAAAACAATACTATTCGGTAAAGAAACATGCAGAAAGCAATACTATTTTAATGTGTTGTGGATACTGACACACACACATATATACATACATACATATATATATGGCTAGACTTTGATGGGAATTTTTTTCATAGGAAAGTTTTGATAAAGGTGATGACAAAGATAAAATTTTCCATGTAATCCCTTCAAAGAATTGGTATGACTTCACTTTTCCATCTGACAAGACAGTTTTCAACATGTTAAGCTTAAATTATTTTAATCATCTGAGTATAGGAGAATAAGGTTACCCAATTTTTCAAAAAGATTTTACTTATTTATTTGAGAGAGAGCATGTGAGAGAGAGAGAGAGAGCACAAGCGTGTGCACAAGCAAGGCGAGGAGGGACAAATGGGGAGGGAGAGGCTGACTCCCCGCTGAGCATGGGGCCCAACGAGGGGCTCAATCCCAGGACCCTGGGATCATGACCTGAGCCAAAGGCAGACACTCAACCAACTGAGCCACCCCGGTACCCCAAGGTTACCCAGTGTTAAAGAAACACAATTTTGGAATCATAATACATCCATTCTAATATTGCCTTTACCATGGACATAATAATTCAATAAAGGCTTGATAATCACAATTCATAAACCATAATTTCTTTTACCTTCAGAAACAGAAAATTTTATCAATATAAAAGGAAGATAAATAAATAACAAAATATAATATCTTAAATACCATGGAAGAATATCCATGGAGGTGGATTATGGGATGGGGTTAAATGGGTGATGGGCATTAAGGAATGCACTTGTGATGAGCACTGGGTGTTGTATGTAAGTGAGAATCACTAAATTCTACACCTGAAACTAATATTACACTGTTTGATAACTGGAATTTAAATAAAAACTTGAAAAAGAGGAGCACCTAGGTAGCTCAGTCGGTTAAGTGTCTGCCTTCGGCTCAGGTCATGATCCCAGGGTTCTGGGCTGGAACCCCACAGGGCACCAGACTCCCTGCTCAGTGGGGATCCTGCTTCTCCCTCTGCCTGCTGCTCCCCCTACTTGTGCTCACTCTCTTTCTCTCTCCCTCTCACAAATAAATAAAATCTTTAAATAAAATGTTTTTTCTTGTTCTTTCTTGTGATGAGAATTCTCAAGATCTACTCTCCTGGCAACATTCAAATACTCACCCACGATATTATTGACCATAGCCAACATGAAGCACACCACATCTCCTTGACCTACTCATGTCATACCTTTAAGTATACCTCCCAAGACCCTTCACCCATTTCATCCTTCCCCCAAACCCTCCTCACTCCTGGCAACCACCACTCTGTTCTCCCTATCCATGACTTTTGTTTGTTTCTTTGATTCCACCTGTCAGTGAAATCATACAGTTGTTGCCTTTCTCTGATTTACTTCACTTAGCATAGTGACCTCTAGGTCCATCCATATTGTCACAAATAGCAAGATTTCACTCTTTTAAGCAATATTCCACTATGTATATATATACCACACCTTCTTTATCAATTTATCCACCTGTGGACACTTAGGTTGTTTCTATATGTTGGCTATTATAAATAATGCTGCAATCAACATAGGGGTGAATATATCTTTTCAAATTACTCTTTTTATTTCCTTTCAGTAACTACCCAGAGATGGAATTACTGGATTATACGTGATTTTAATTTTTTGAGAAACCTCTGTTTTCCATAGTGGCTTTACCAACTGACATTCCCAATAAAGCACAAGGGTTCCCTTTTCTTCACAACTTTGCCAACACCTGTTATTTCTTGGCTTAGGTTTTTTTTTGTTTTGTTTTGTTTTTTAAAGATTTTATTTATTTATTTGACAGACAGAGATCACAAGTAGGCAGAGAGAGAGGAAGAGGCAGGATCCCTGCCGAGCGGAGAGCCGGATGTGGGGCTCGATCCCAGAACCCTGGGAGGCTTTAATCCACCAAGGCACCCAGGTGCCCCTCTTGGCTTACTGTTAACAGCCATTCTAACAGGTGTGAAGTGACATCTCATTGTGGTTTTGACTTGCATTTCCCTGATGATTTGTGATGTTGAGCATCTTTTCCTGTGCCTGTTGGCCATCTGTATGTTTCCTTTGGAAAAATGTCACATCAAATCCTGTCCATTTTTAATTGGATTGTCTGTTTATTTGCTATTGAGTTGTAGGAGTTCTTTATATTTTTTGAATATTAACTCTTTACCAGATAAATGATTTGCAAATATTTTCTCCCATTCTATAGGCTGCCTTTTCATTTTGTAGATGGTTTCCTTTGTTGTGCAGCAACTTTTTAGCTTGACGTAGTTCACTTGTTTATTTTTGCTTTTATAGTCATATCCGAAAAGCATTGCCAAGACCAATGTCAAGAGGCTTAGGGCCTATGTTTTCTTCTAGTTTTATTGTTTCATGTTTTACATTTTAGTTTTTAATCCATTTTGAGTTGATTTTTGTGTATTGTGTAAGATAAGTAGTCTAGTTTCATTCTTTTGCATGTACCTATTCAGTTTTCCCAACATCATTTATTAAAGAGGCTGTCCTAATGCCCATTGTATATTCTTGCATCCTGTGTTGTAAACTAATTGAACATATATACATATGGCTCTCTATTCTCTTCCATTGATCTAGGTGTCTGTTCTTATACCAGTATCAGACTGTTTTGATTACTATGGCTTCATAATATAGTCTAAAATCAGAAAGCATGATACCTCTAATTTTGTCCTCCTTTCTCAAGATTGCTTTGGCTATCCAGAGTCTTTTGTGGTTCCCTACAAATTTTAGGATTATATGTTCTACTTCAGCGAAAAGTGCCATTGGGACTTTGGTAGGAATTGCATTGAATCTATATATTGCTTTGGGAAATGGGGACATTTTAGCAATATTAATTCTTTCTACCCATGAGCATGGGATATCTTTGCACTTATTTGTGTCTTCTTCAATTTCTTCCATAAATGTCTTATAGTTTTCAACATATAGGTTCTTCACCTTCTTGTTTAAGTTTATTCCCAAGCGTTTTTTTGATGCAATTGTAAATGGGATTTTCTTAATTTCTCTTTCTCATAGTTTGGTGTTAGTGTATAGAAATGCAAGATTTTTGTATGTTGATTTTATACCCTGCAACTTCACTGAATTCATTTATACATTCTTTATTGAATTAAAAAACTAGAGTTTTTTGGTGGTATCTTTAGGGTTTTCTATATATAAAATCATGTCACAAATTATGAAAGGCTTACATCTTCCTTTCCAGTTTGGATGCTTTCTATTTCCTTTTCTTGCCTAATTGCTCTAGGACTTCTGACACTATGTTGAATAAAAATGGCAAAAGTGGGCATCCTTGTCTTATACCTAATCTTAAAGAAAAAGCTTTCAGCATTTCACCATTTAGTACAACATAAGC